GCTTGTTGTAGGGGTCCATACAAGGGTCACAAAAATGGGTTTCATTTTTGCTATGCGTTTCTGGGTAGGTCAAAAACTGAGTAAAAAGAATTCGACAAGATTAGGCGGTTTTGACCATCTTAATGGGCTCCATTTTTATTGTAACTTCGAGCATGCATTGTTTTGAAGGTGCTCTTTGATAAGGCTTCGAAAATGGCTTTGAATAAAGGCAAAATATGATTATCATGTGGTGGCACACTAGGCATTCACCGCCGCAACAGCGATGTTTTTATCAACGGTCCCTTCACCTCCACTGCAGCTCGGATGGCGCAACGGATAACACGATGGACTCTGGATTGGACGACGATACGGCACTTTGTGGATCGAATCCTGCTCGCGTAGATTAGTTTTGCATTTTCCAGTTTCGCGTTCCTGTGTCTCTGGCAGTGGAAATAAGCCATGTACATGCCAGTTTAAGGCATATTCTTTATTCGACACGTTGCAAACCAGCGCGGTTGTGCGGAAAAGCCTGTTTCCGGGAATGTTCTAGTCTCATTGTGTACCATTTCCCTTCATTGATGGACAAATCTCACAGCTGTGGTAAAGTTCAACAAAACATGTGAAGCATATGCATCTACTGCACCAACTACACCTAACAAAAGCCAGAGAAGAACAATTGCTGTCTTCTTGACAAGGGACGACAACATCTCCTTCGTTGATGTCGTCCGTCCAGGATGCTGGAGATCTTTTTGATCTACTGGAACTGTTGATCACATCAATATAAGCGATGATGCAAGCCTACTGCATCCTAATATTACTCCATCCGAATATGCAACGTGTCGAATAAAGTAGCCATGTACATGCCTTAAACTGGCATGTACATGGCTTATTTCCACTGCCAGAGACACAGGAACGCGAAACTGGAAAATGCAAAACTGAATCTACGCGAGCAGGATTCGATCCACAAAGTGCCGTATCGTCGTCCAATCCAGAGTCCATCGTGTTATCCGTTGCGCCATCCGAGCTGCCGGCAGTGGAGGTGAAGGGACCGTTGATAAAAACATCGCTGTTGCGGCGGTGAATGCCTAGTGTGCCACCACATGATAATCATATTTTGCCTTTATTCAAAGCCATTTTCGAAGCCTTATCAAAGAGCACCTTCAAAACAATGCATGCTCGAAGTTACAATAAAAATGGAGCCCATTAAGATGGTCAAAACCGCCTAATCTTGTCGAATTCTTTTTACTCAGTTTTGACCTACCCAGAAACGCATAGCAAAAATGAAACCCATTTTTGTGATCCTTGTATGGACCCCTACAACAAGCAACAAACCATTTCCAAAAAGCGCGCCACGACCTGAAAGACCTCCCTTGTTAGAGATATGAGTATTGAAAGTCAACTTGTCCTGGGTAACAAGTACTTGTTAACGTTGTGCAATCAATGCAGCTAGGAGAGAATCGGTATCTGTAGTTTTCGTAGCAATTGCTGTTTTATCAAGTTGTTAGGGAGTCAGAGCATTGTAGCTTCATATTGTTAATAGAAACTTCAAATGAACAATTACATTCCTACGTAGCTTTCGCTTTTTTTGGAAAATATTATTTTGGTTGGTGCCCTCGGCTGTGTTTCCCAAGCGGGCTCAATAGAGCTGATCGCGGACAGGTCACAGTGAACAGTGAACCCTCTTCCCGTTTTTCGCGTATCTGCCCAACTTCCCGCTCTATGATCATAGTGCAGACAAACCCCGCAACTTGAAAAGAGCTCGTTTCTCAATTTTCTCAAATCAATTTAAAGCAATCTCAATTTTTTTAAATTCAGTGGGCTTCACGAAGATGACAAGACTTTTCTCGTTCATCTGTGCTGGATGTTCACCTTCTACGATTCACGAGAGTACGAGAAAAAATTCACTGTAACTATTGGTAATATCCCAAAAAGGTACAAAAGTTCATGAGCCACCGGTGGCTTATGTTGTCCTACTTAGCTCTCGCTTATGGGAAATCGGTGGCTCATGATGTCGACAGCAGCCGAAATGCTATTATGGTAAGTGGTGAGGGAAGGTAGTCGATAATGAGCACCAGAGTTTCATTCAAAGTTTTTCCGCTGCCTTTGTGGGTCTCCCATTGAATAGTGGACATAATAAAGTGAAGTATCGCTTTGTTATAGTAAAGTACACACGACTCGTGAGATGTGGGCTAAATAAAAGCAGTGGGAGCAGTGGAGGATTATCATCAACCCGTGCACGGTCGCTTGTGCTTTCTCCACGCTATCAGCATCGAAGGATGAAATTGGTCACCTTTGGCTTTCTACTGTGCATAGCTTATTCAGTAATGGGAGATGATTGTCAAGTCTTCCATTCGACATTCGGAGTGTACAAAGGAAAGTTCCCTCGCAATCCGTTCAGAAGTCACTTCATGAACTTTGTACGTTATCCCAAAATGATCAGTTTTCTCAGAAGGCTATTGTGATTTCACTATTAAGTGAACAATTTGTAGAAGGATTCTGACCTGGTCAAACAATTGAGGATGCAGATAGATGGTGTGTCTCTCGACGTTATTGAGATCCAGAAGGTATGTGTCGTATCAGTTTGTGAGCTGCAAACACGTTTTACATTGTTCTCTATGGGCAAACTGTGCAACCATATCCGAGGACGTCCTTTGCCATATGCGAGGAAAAGGGCTCCGCAGCAGTGCCGTCTCAGAATAGTTCGTGACTGCGAATCCCGTCATCCTCCCTACATTCCTCACCTTAACCGCAGCCGTGCAAGTGTAAACCTTTGTCACATGATCGTGCGGGGAAGTAACGCTGAAGGACCGTACACTTCTGCCGGCTTAGGGACTCCGCCTACCGTTCTCAAATGCGCTCAAAACAATGATGAACACGCAGTCAAAGTCAAGAGAACAACCAGACGTGAGAGTTCGTAGGCAAGTAGCGCGTTCGGCCAAGACTGGGCGTGCGATGACGCAGGAGCAGTCCGGATTGATACCCGAGTATCATTGAACTCTGGATCCGTTCTGTGCATCCTTAATTATGGGGGGGGGAGGCAGGGTACGGCGACATGCTGGAGCTGTAGAT